AATGCTGCACGAGGGTTGTGCGAATCGAGAACGAGCACTTACAGATGGAAAGGGGCTGGGGTGGATGCCATCATGTTAGGAAAGCGAGTAAAGTATTGCAGGGAAAGAAAAAGAACGGCGAGAATATGGTATGTAGTCGGGTGTGTACAATATGCAAGATTCGCTACTAGATATGTTTAAGTAGACCTTGTTAGGTGAATTTCGTCCATGGGTTAGGGTTAGGGATTATTTTCGGGGTTAGGTGTCTGCGTCTTAAAGCCCGCCCATATAACCCCTATTATGACCATTCCTGACAGACGAGTTCCACGGGTTATCTGTTGGTGATCCCGACTACATGCTATATCCTCGTCAAAAATATTTCGAAAAAGTGTAATAAACCACGAAAAATGCAAAGAAGATAGGGAGTAGATGACACTTGGTAAATACCTACCGCCAAACCGAGGGTCTGCCCTAATTGCTCCATCTAAGTGAATGACACTCTTCGCGCATATAAAGGCTTAGTCAGTAAGTCATTCTCCGACTTAAATGCAGTTTCGAACGTGTGCACTAGGCAGGGTGATATGCGAAGAAGGACTGTTCAGACTTCAATTACCCTCACCCAGCCATCGGAAGACAGGGGTGGTGTGGAAAGAAAGATCGAAGTAGATTAATCAATAGTTTGCTTCCCGATAATAAAATTTCTACTCCAGTCGTCTCTGTGAACACCGCGTAGGATGACTGCAGAAGTCGTTGTTCGGAACGGTCGAACTATCATAAGTGCTATGCACGGATGTTGATGAAATTTTGAAGAATCGAATTCGCCTTTAGAAATGCGAAGGTATGAAGGTTAGCAAAAACGGCCTCAAAATAGGCGTTTTCAGCGTATGAAGCGCCTCGGAGGCATCAGCACAAATAGCCAAAATCAGCAAAAGCGTACATTTATATTACTGTGAATGAAATAATTGCGTGTCTTTTTTTCAAATACGGCAGTGCTTACTTAAAATCATTCGTAGGTTTTGGCTGTTCGTTTCTTGTCCTAGCAGCTCCAGCAGCAACGACGCAACTTCAATTCGCAGTTTTTTGGCCGTCAGTTGATCTGCGTGAGACGTGATGTGCGGAGAAATATCTGGAAGAAAGCCAGATAATAAACAGTAATGCCAGCTGGTAGAATCTTCGAATTCAAAGAAAAAACACACCGCGGACGTTGGATAGTGGCCAAGGAGGACGAGTATAAATAAATTTCTGGGGTAGCCAGTGAATGAACGAGCAGACTGATGTCTTCACTACACAAACCCATCCGCGCCTATAGACACATATACACAGGTATTTGTGTGGTAAATATTTTGGAAAAAGCTGCCATGCGTCAATAGGATTGGCCGCTAGGGGAATACACAGTAGGCGGGCCGCGCCTAGCAACGGCGTCTCAATGTCGCGTTGTCATCCTGGCAACGGGCAACAAAGCCCAACAGGTAGCTCAGCGACAGATGCGTGACAACAATTGCTCAGATGCAAAGAAGGTGTGGGAGGGGAGCGATTAGGCAGAGATTTCAAAATACACATATATTATGTAATTAACAATAAGGAATTTGTCTGCATCGGATTCAAAATTCAGGACTTTGAAGTCTGCAACGATCGGAAACTCAAAACTCTCGACTGAGGATTGGCTGAATTCGCACAACGCCTGTAACGATGTGCCAAAGCGACACAGAAACTTTGCAAGCCTTGGTGAATTGAAACCTCGGGTCAGAAATTTGGCCAAGTAGTTATGGTCCGTAGTCTTATGAAAGTTGCGCTCTAATATTTAAGCATTTTTGTTATTCCAGAAAGCCCTTCCTTCTGTTAACTCCAGTTTAATGGGATGATCTTATGGTGCCGTAAAAATTCAACAGAATCAAAAAAGGCGCCGATGTGCATGGCCTCAGCTTAGGTCGGACTTTCAGCGAACGAAGAGACACAGGGAAGAGATTACAGGGCAGTTTATGCTAAGGAGGATGTCAACCAGGGTGAGAACAAAATCTTACGAATCAGCCAGAACTGAGGTCGGAATTTCAGTACAGTGAGTAAGAAAGAAATAGAAGTGATCTACGAGGACTAATCAAGTTTACACTTTTAGTTTTCGACGTGCTGCAATTACGCGGCACGTATCCGACGGTCCGATGAGGTGACCAATGAGTCGGGTTCTACCATTCCCTTGCAATTAACTTAAGGAAGATCGCCTAACAAGGCAAACGACAAAAACGGGGCGCGACCTTCGATTGCCACAACTGCATCTCCGGTCCGTAAATCCACACGTAATCTTTTGTCGACTCGTTCGTTGGAGTGACGAATAGTCACTGTTTAGCCAATTCTAATAAAGCCCATCATAGTAAGGCATATATACTTTATTGGCGGCTTTCAAAAGTATTCAGTAGAAAATAAACGGCTTCTGACTGAAGGCTTTTTGAGGAAGTGTCCGAGAGTTGCTATTTGCCGAGAGGTGTTTGACATGACCAGTGTTTGGACGCCCAAAATAATTTAAAACCCCGGAATTGCTACCGATAATGAAATAAGATTGGAATGACAATTCCCGGCTTGCCTTGGGATAAATCGATTGCGTTTGCTTGATTATATAACCAAGTAACTGGCGCACGCCCAGTTAACCCCAACTCAAAATATTCAAGCTAACATAGGAGTTGTATTTGCCGTTATGGCCTACTTTTCAGACCGTAGTACGGAAATAAAAAAACAAAAAAAGCAATGACAGTGTTGTGCAAACGAAAATGCAAGTAACTGTACCAGAGAAGGTAAGGCCTTCAAGTTGGTTGGGGAGACAAACCATCGAGATCATTTGGTGAAGAGCAGCCCTGCGAACGAGAGCCATTGATATGTACTCCGGTCGGCTAAAAGAACAGAAGATAAAATTAAAGTGATGGCACTGTGTTAAAATAAACCATGAAAAAAGGCGCTCTAGAAAAGAGAATCTGACAGAAATTAAATGGTTAGTCGAGGACATGTTTATGTCAGATGCAGTACGGTAGACTGTCTAACTCATGAAATGTCAAGATCATAATTTGAGGAAGTAGTCTGACACACATCTGAGGTCGCTTATTTTGTTTGTTAAATTGGCTTGAAGCACAAACAGCCAATTTACTTTAGTTTACTTTAGAGCTGTTAATTGAAGAAAGAATAGGCCAGAATTGGGCAAAATCGTCGCTTATTTTGTTTGTTGAATTGGTTTGAAGCACAAATAGCCAATTTACTTTAGTTTACTTTAGAGCTTTAGAGCTGTTAATTAAAGAAAGAATGGGCCAGAATTGGGCAAAATCCGACGTTTCTTGATACCCAAGAAAAGTCTTACGCTACTGAATACTATGTCCACTCTTAGTTGCCTTGCTATCAAAGCACGTGTGCGGTGTGGGTCAACAGAATGAAGTGGATTCTTCAGCAGCGGTAGTCGATAGCGGGCCCTCCATTCACATGTACATTTTTCTTATACATATATCGGTTGACCTATTACATCCATCACTCCTTTTCACTTATTTTAACTAAAGTACACGAGGCTAGTAGTGTAATAAAGAAAAGTAAATATTGCCAACATTGTGCGATTCATTCAAGGACGATTTTTCATGATATTGACAATTGCGGTCTTCAACCATTATGCACTGTTTGTGATCTCCCGAGCTTATGTAGTTTGTGGGCCTAATTTTACTCACTGTGAATGGAGGAATTTGTCGCTGAAAGCTGTGGAATGATATTTTTAGAACAAAGCATCTTTGTCACTTCCTCTCTTGAAGGGCTGCTTCACTAAAAACGAATTCCTGGCAAGTCAGAGCAGGGCCCACTGCGAGGGGTGATGGTAGGCATCTTCGTTCGCAACGGTCAATCTATCATAAGTTTTAGATGCAAATGGTGATGGCATTTTGACGAATCCAACTTACCTTTGAAAGTCGGACGAAAGGAACATCGTTTGCTACCGTCAAACTAGGACAAACGACGCACTAGGTGTTCTTATTGAAGTTTCGGCTCCACGTGATAGAAACCGTGCATTTCAAACGTTATAAATTTTAGGAACATGCAAAAACACAATTTTCTTCGGAAATGTAAGTACTAACTGCTTGCACAACGGCTGATGAGCACTCGACAAAGCTTGATGTAATCTTTGCTTGCGCATTCTGACTTGGGAATGTGATAAGAATACTGTACGATCCTAGAGAAAAGAGTTCTCGTCTTGGATTTTGCTACATTGTTCGACCGTTCTAAAGGCCAGCAATCACACAACCATGGCACAGTGTTCAAATGTACAACATCATGCGGTGTCCTCTTAGTCTGCATAGGAGGAACGTGTAGTTAATCCATCTAGCATGTTGATGGAGTACATTATATCAGTTGAAGCTGCCTACTTTCGAATATTAAGTAGATGTATTTTATTATATTATACTCTATCAGCTTAGTAATAAAGTAACAACCTGATGTTGGTACAGGCGAGGAACCGAAGTTGAGCTTACAGTACTGCCAAAGAAGTTCCAAAGTGAATAAAGTTGGAACTTGAATTTTAAAGGATAATATCAAGCGTGAGAGTCATTTGTACATAGACAACCACGTCGGACTGAAAAAATAATGAAATGAGACCACTTACACAATAAATTGTTTTCGAAAAACCCAGCGACATGCAGTGAACAAGTAGGGAAGCATGACGTGAACGGCTCTCAAGTCGCAACGGAGGAGGTCAAGACAATGGACCAGGACAGCTGAAAGCTGAAACTCATAAACCTAAAAAAGGAGGCAGTTGATAACTAAGACGGATATGGTCATGGAGAGAATCGTCCAGTATATGCATAAATTACTATATGCTACTGAAAAAAACTATGAAAACACAACTTATATGCAAGCAAAAAGGGCACAAAAGCGTTCTCCCACCTTCAGACATACATACACTTTTGGCTCACAAAATCTTTTCCCGGTTTCTTTCAAGAAACTGACAGAACATCCAAGCTCTGTATGAAAAAAATCAATTTTGCTGTACGAAAAATGGTTGCGTGAAATTAATTGAAAGCATCGTAGCGTCGACTGCCGAAGACTTCTCGCACAATGAAGATAGATGGAGGCGGAGAGACAGCTTTTTTGGCGCGAACGACAAAGAAAATATCGAGACCAAGATACTGAGGAAATGGACACACAAGGCAAGTTAGTCAGTCTAATTCACTGGAGCCCTTCCACATAGGAAGAATTTCTCGGAGTCTGTCAGTCATCGCTTCTTGCTAATCCAACTCGGAGCGTCATGAAGGCCTACAGCAATCATTCGAAGCTCGGTTGTAAAGATAAGATTGACCGCAACCACGCAATAACAGGAAGGCTTTGCAGCGCTTGTGGCTTATCAAATTACGCAAAGGAGGTACGGTCGGAACACTTTACAATGCATAATACTCTCGATTGTCACAACAATCAATCAACAATGCAACGAAACTCCTTTCACAATAGGCAGACCATGCCAGATCGGCTATCCGTGTGGTGTCTACTGCTCTGACTTTAGGTGTACTGGATGAAGCGCAAGTGGCAGCAAGTACGAAACTAGGCCCGCGACATCTGTTACCTGGAGATCACTGTCACTTCGCGGGCTGACCCCCTGTCAAACAAAATAAAAACCGGCGACCTTGTCGGGCACCTAGGGAACCGCCGTAGCACGACCGAAGAACCAATGACATGGACCGTGGTCAATACCTGTCACGTCCGCCGTATTCGCGCATTGAATTTACCTATCCAGTCATATAAGCAAATCAATCATATCAGACCCATACAGAGTCAATTACTAAGGCACACACATAAGTGACATTCCTGTGACCCAAATGTGAAACAGTTGGAGCCTCGAAGGGATTCGAACCCACACTAACAAGGGGAAGGCTTTACTACAGCCAACGCTCTGGCCAATTTAGCTACGCGGTTCACAGCAGGAGTTGTGAGTTTAGTCACACTTGGACAGTCAGCTTGCTGTATCAGAATTGGTGGATTTCATACGTTGCAGTAGGCTGAGCGGGTAAATCGAACGAAGTGCCAACTCCCTCTCCCGCCCTCCTCTACTTATAAGTGACATGCATGCCAACTTATCGGCGCTGTAACGCATATGCCTGTCACACATAGGAATGATAGGACACCCGCAAATTAGTTGCAGTGCGTGTCAAGAATCACAGCCTACAGCCACAACAACCAAAACTTGTTAGGTTTGCCTTCGTGTCCATACCATAACCGCGTACTCATACCCTCTATTGGCTACTTCAGTCATACACGCATAGGCGAACGCAGCCACTACAACGTTCAAACATACACATACAGAACTAGGCGAGTGATTTTCAAGTGGCAGTACTGGCGCGCGACGCGCGGATGTTTGGTGTCACACGCGTGAGAGACGGTAGCTGCAAGGAATGGTATTCAGTATGACCAATCTCACCTTGCGCTGGTATGA